CACGAGATTCAATCCCATACGTAATTCCGACGATCGGGCCGGCAAACGACCTGGCCTCGATCCAATCTGCCCCGTTCCGAAAACCATTTCATCCCCCCATCCAAAAAAAAAAAAAAAAGAACCCGTTCGATCCTCGTGACGGAAGATCAATCGAGAAAGTCGTTCCGCGCCGACGATCGCCTAATTAATTACTGTCACGACGCTTCCGTCGTTGTTGACTCGACGGAGCGAGTTTTCTCGTTTCCACGCCGTCGGTTCCGCGTCCGTCAAACTTCTCGCGTCGTGCGAAAACACACGTGTACAGGGTGAAACAACGGATCGAACATCGATCGTGACATTCATCGCGAATTGAAACTATCCTAAACGATCTCCTCTCGATTTTTACCAATGTGTGGTCGAGCGAGCGAGGAATTTTCAAGGAGTTTTCGGCAAGAAAAACGTCAGAGTCGCTCGTTTTTACCGGCAAGATGCAATTTCGCGACGATCGACGATTAATCCGCGGAGGGAAGAAATTAAACGCAAGGGGTAGTGGGAGGACAGCCCGCGGCCATTGAATTCGCGAGCTGACGACGATTTTCATCCCCCTCGATGAGCTATTCATTCCCCGGCGGTGGAAACGAGACGCTAATAAAGCATCATTCGAGAAAGCGAAAGAAATAAAGAGCGCGGTCGGACAAATGGAATAGGAGGAGGATACCAAAAGATACCTCGATAATGGATCCTTCCTCTGGTCGTCCAAGCGTTCTTCGATATCCCGGTGATATTCGTTTCGCCATATTGTTGTACGAGTGGCCCCCGTGGCTCGTTGGCCGCGCGGTGACGCGCGTTCGTTTCATTTTTCCCGGCACTCTCCTTGAAGGTAAGAACCTTCCATCGCCTTGATGAGAAAACAGCCGGCGAACGGGTCAAAAGCAGACAGACGAGCCTTGCATCGAAACTTGCACCGTGGACGAAGAAGAGGAAGAAGAAACGCGGTGAAACGAATTGTGTGCCGGGGGAACTGCACACGCTCCGTTCGTTCCTCTTTCACTTCGCGTTCGGAGGGAAAAATCAGGCTAGTGGGAAATTTTGGAGAGAGTTTCCAATTTAACGAGAGTTTCCGAATTGACGAGACAACCCTGTCGAACGTTGACAGCTAATGGGATCAAGTATGGGGTTGCATCGGCCAAAGTTCTTAAAGCTATTAGTACAATCAAAAGAATATATATTATATAATATTATATTATTTAATATATATTATATTAATATTATATAATATTATATATATTATAAACATACAATATACATTATAAAATATATAATATAATAATATAATAATAATGTATAATATAAATATAATATAATATTATAATATTATAATATAATAATAATGCATAATATAAATATAATATAATATTAATTTATAATATAATAATAATGTATAATATATATATAATAGAATATTATATGATGTATATTATATTCTACATAGTCTACGTAGAATATATATCTCATAACACCAGAGGTACCGAAAACTAAAGTATAAAAATTGAGTCAAAGAAACTAGAACTAGGAAAAGGTTTACAACACGATAATGAATCGCTAAAAAAAAGCGCAACATCGTAAGTCCGCAGAATTACTCTAAAAAATTGTAAATCGGTCGTTCGGAAGTTTTCGTGCGACGTACCAATCCACGGCGAGTCACGCGCTTTAGCCCTAAAGCTCTATCCGATCCGTGATCCAGACACAAATTCAACGATAGCCAACCGGCTTTTAAATCATTTCTAACATGTTCTAACCACCGTTTGTGCAGCTTTTCGTGAGTCCTGCCGGCCCAAGATTTCCATCGAGCGAAACCTTGCTCCGTATACATTGGCGGAGCATTTGCATTGCAAATGTAGCTTGCGAATTAACATTCATCGTGCATCGGGATAAGAAAGAAAAACTCGTGGGATATCTCGTGTTCAGGGGCATTAGCGGGTAAGCGCGGATTAGCACGTAAAAGCTAGAATCTCCTGTCCAACCTGTGGCCCGAGTCGTATCTCGACTTATCGTGTCGCCTGATAACGAGACAAGGACCGCGATACGCGTCGTCACGCAATATCATCGACGATTCAATCTTATCCGACCCCGAGTAAATTCGTGGCGCAAGGATAGGACGGAGTTACTTACACGTACACAGAGACGAGCTCGGGGTAAAGCCGGGGGAATTGTTGTTTTGCTTGCAGGGAGCTGACCGCAGAGAGACCGGAATCGCGAGAATCGATCGTTCGTGCGAAACGTGGTTGCACTGGTATCGGCAGTTCCCGTAACCTTGCGAAATTATTGAACGAGTGTCGTCATAAGTTGGGGGCACGTTACCGTGGAGAGAACGACCTCGGCTACGATCATTCCCTCTTGGCCGGGCGTATTTCCTCGTCGCGTAAATCAGAGGGCACGTTGCATCGGGAATTAAATCAACGCGCCTCGCTTCGTTGATGGAGATGAAGGAAAACGAGATGGACGGTAGAAGAGGGATAGAACGAGCGAACGAGAAAGAGTTTGTGTGTGGATGTGTGTGTGTGTGTGAGAGAGAGAGAGAGAGAGAGAGAAAACTAAAATAGATGGAGCAAGGAAGAGAAGGAAGAGTAACTGTGGCGGGGGATCAATTTAGAAGCCGTGACTCACTCAACACGGTGACGTCGTTAGTGCACCCCTTTCGTTCTCACCCTCTCTACGCTATCCCTAAAAAGAGAAAGAGAGAGAGAGAGAGAGAGAGAGAGAGAGAGAGAAAGGAAAAAAAGAAGAATAATCCGGTCACAACTCTCTCTCTAAGCGAGAACTAATCGAGGCCAGTGCACACTACCGAGAAAGAGCGAAACGAGTAGGAGGATGTTCTCGACTCTCTCCGGCCGGTCGACGAGCCTCGAGTATTATTTCTGGTATTCGTGTATACCGCTGTGTTACACCCGACGAGACGAGGGTCGCGGAGGTGGCACGCGGAAAGTGAAGCGGAAAGGGCACGAACGGGAGTCATCGTTGTGCGCGATAACACCGGTCCCGGTCCCTCGTTACGTCAAAAAAGGGAAAAAAGAAGAGAGAGAGAGAGAGAAAGAGAGAGAAAAAAAAGAAGAACTCGACGGAGAAAAAGAGAACCGGCATGTGAAGTCGAGATTTACCTACGCCCATGTACTTCACGCGCCAGTGACTCCTGTTTACAGAGCCGACCGGCGGGCTGGGTGGAAAAAGAAGAACGCGAAAATGCGAGCATAGAGAAACAAGGAAAATTGCGAGGGAAAAGAGGGGAGGGGGAGAAAGGGTGCGAAACGAGGAAGAGGATGCAGAAAAGGGGGAAGCATCCAACGCATCCTCTCGCACCCCCTCTCCCCTTCGCGCGCCCATCGGAGCCAGCGTCCCCTCGCCCCAATTACCGTGCCCGTCGCTCGCACCACCTCGTCCACGCTCGTAATTTGCATCCGACCTCTATTTCCTCCGTAGCCGTCGAACTAAATCCCTCTTCCCAAATCGTCCGGGAGGAAACCGAGGTTCTTGCGACGTGGTAATCTCCTGCTCCTGGGATAACGTAGGGGACGACAACGAAACTAACTGGTAGAAGCCAGGACTCGCCTGGTGTTTTCGAGTACGGTTAACGCCGTTACGGAGAAAGAGAGGGGGAAAGAGGGAAGAAGAGAGAGAGAGATAGAGAGAGAGAAAGAGAGAGAGAGAGAAAGATGAGAACAGTAAGAGACGAAATAATGATCGAAGAAGGAAATTATACATATGTATTATACGTATGTACATCCTGGAAGAAGATTGTTGGTACTCACGAGGCACACGATCAACGAGGATCAGGCTCTCGGTTAGGAGACGTCGACTCCCGGATCGTCGACCGACGAGCATCCTACACACCGATTCCCCTGTTCCGCGAGTCCTGGCGTCGAGGACCCGGATGATCCTCCCGTTGTCACTCCCGGCAACACCCACTTTCTCCTCTGGCCTCGTAACCTCGAGGGCCACTTTTCCTTCTCTCCCTCGCCGCCGTCGTCGAACGAGGCGCAGCACTATTCTGACAGCACCACCACTACCACCACCACCATCACCACCACCACCACCACCACCGCGATACGATTCTCGACTATGAACGACTACGGGCACTACCACGATAGGAAAACCGCCACCACCACCACCACCGCTGCCACCGCCGCCACCACCGCCACGGCCACCACTACCACTGCCACTCGCCACCACGAGTAGCACAGGCACAGCAGCAGCTCGTCGTCGTACCGCCTCGATACTGGCGGATCAGTTAACAAACTGGCGACCAGTTACGCGAGATTTCGCCCTCCCTTCCCCCCCATCTCAAAGAGATTTCGTCCACGATCGCGAGTCTCGTCAGAAACGATCTGTCCAGCCACTGACGATCGTGGCGTTGCCGAGTATCGCCCCTTCGTCGGTCACTATTCGCGTTGACACACGACGCGTGACCATCGACGAAGAACCCTCTGAACGCGAGCCACACGCGGCGACCTGCGAGCATAGGATGAGCTCCGTAGCTCGCTGCGGGAACGCCACCGTGCGAGCTGACCTATCTACGCGCCTGTCTGCTCTCCCAACTCTTCCGAGCCGCGAATGTGAATCCCTTCACGTCCCAATCGTGCCCGCCTTCTGGCCAGTCACGGCACAAGTGTATACGCGATCGTGACACACGCGTGACACGTCCTAGCATGCGCCCTTCTACGCGCGCCTCGTATCGCACGCGCCCGAATCCGGCCGAGTTCGCCTCGAGCGCACCCGGTGTCGCTGCTTTCCATTGCCGCGTCTAGGGAGTTTTCTCTCTTCGAAAACCACTCTTTCAAATTCGAATTTTCGCGAAAGTGGGAAAACTCGTAGCGATCCTCGCGAGTTATTCTTTCGTTCGATTTATAAGACGCACTTTCCGTCAACGTGTAACGCTGCCAGCGGATCGTTTCGAATTTAGCGCCAAGACTCAGGCTTCGGCACGTTCTAGGGAATTTTTTTACATAGCGCACGATACTGACCTGAGAGCATCGTACGGACGCGTTTCTTTTTCTTCTCCGTTTTTTTTTTTACTTCCAAAATTCGCTTGGACGAACGACCGACGACCATAAAAAGCTTCGACGACGTTCGTGTTCGCGTCTGTTAAAGTAAAGAGTGAATTTGAAAATAATCGCGGTGGCTGCGATTCAACTCGGTTGATAATGCAGTTGGCAGTTGTGACTACCGTTTAATTAATGCCCAAAGCTATGGGATGACGTACGATTTGTCCTTCGTGTGGTGGCTTTTCGTTCGAGGCTAGATCCCGCTGTATGCTCTCGTCAGGAGGATCGTAACCACAGTGGCTAGGCATAGTTCGCGTGGAGCAGTATGATGGCACGGTAACAATGACAGAAAGTTCGTTTCTCATTGACGAATACGGTACTAAATCTAATATGTGGAGCGGTTTCCGCAGCAAGGGCTTCCTCATGTTGTTCCTGATTTACGTGATTGTGTTTCAATGTTTCATATGTGAGTGTTTGTTTGCCCTTGTACCATACGTCTCTCCATCTTCTGTGCATCGTAGAACTTCACGGATGTAAAAACGCGTGACACACGAGCCTGGCATGCCGTGTGCCACCATTTTGTACGCATGCTTCCCGCGATATTCAAATAAATTACACACGACAGCATTCCACGATTAAATTTTTATGCATTTTTAAATTTCCATGGATACAATTAACATAAAAGGAAAAAAGTTTTGAGTAATAAATACACACTTTTGGATATTTTATATATTTTCACGCGAAATCTCTCATAAATGCATGAAAAAGAAATCCGCAGTCTACCTGTATTGTATGGTTACGCTCGTAATTAATTTTTACTAATCTCCATTAATTCCCCCGTTTCAAGATTACAAAGACTATCAAGAGCGCTACAAGTGGCAAGAGTTGAGGAGCGAGTTGGAATCGCTGGTGAGCGAGGAACGAGACTTGTACGGATTGGTAAACAGCATCGTCAAGAGGCTAGAGGCGCACAACCTGTTTAACAAAGAGAGGCGAGAGTCAGCCGTGAAGCCCACTATATATGCCATCACCCCTACGTTCGCTAGGCCTGTCCAGAAAGCCGAGCTGACTCGTTTGTCGCAAACGTTCCTCCATGTACCAAACTTCCACTGGATCGTCGTCGAGGACGCGGCAACAAAGACCACGCTGGTCACGCGATTCTTGGAGGAGAGTGGTTTGATTTACACCCATTTGGCCGCGGTGACCCCGCCTAATTACAAGCTGGGCCGAAACGACCCGAATTGGAAGAAGCCGCGTGGCGTCGAGCAACGAAACGCGGCGTTACGCTGGCTTCGGGAGAATCTCAGACCGACCGACAGAGGCGTCGTGTTTTTCGCCGACGACGACAATACTTATTCGATCAAATTATTCCACGAGGTAAGGGGAACATTAACGTTAAGCGACCGGTTCAGTCACGAGATCGTTATGTGTAATCTGTCCACCACAGATGGAGAAGATACAGAGGGTGGGCGTGTGGCCGGTGGGCCTAGTCGGCGGCTTGATGGTGGAAAAACCGATATGTGATAACAATACGAGCAAAGTGATCGGTTTCAACGCTGCCTGGAAGCCGGATCGCCCGTTCCCCTTGGATATGGCAGGTTTCGCGATCAACCTGCGACTGTTACTGGAGAACAAGGACGCCGTGTTTTCGTACGAAGTTCAGGGCGGTTATCAAGAGAGCGAGATACTGTCGCAAATTGTCACTAGAAACGAACTGGAACCGTTAGCCGATTTCTGCACCAAGGTATTCCTTGATTTTACATTTTATTCCTTTTTGTATTTTAAATAAATAATTATTAATTATGCTTATATGTAGGTGTACGTATGGCACACTCGGACAGAGCCACCGCAATTAAACGTGGAACAGCTGTTGATCAAGAAAGGTAAACGCTCGAACGTAGGTATCGAGGTGTGATCAAAATGATATTAGACAAGTATACGTCCGTATATTTTTCAATTACCGAGGAATCTTGCATCGAGTTAGATGTGTACGACATTATTATTAAGTTTGCGAGCAAAAGATACGTAGTATATTACATTTTCGAACACGAAAGAGTGAATGAATTTGATACAAGCTTTTCGTCGTTCGTATTGGGTCATGTACTTTGTAAATTTGAAAACGATGCGGTGCCATAAAGCGGATAGCCGCTAGCTGCGTACTCGATAAGGCGAAGGTAGATTTTACATGAAGTATGCCGATAGTATGCACAATGACGCGGTTTGCTTGAATTACATACTATTGTTAAGCAATTCTTTTACGAGTTTTACGAATCGTTCGCTTTTTATATTCTCGAAGGTAATGCTGTTTGATGGAATAAAGACTTTCGTGTAAAAGAAAAAGAAAAAAAAGATAACGAAACGATAGTGCAGACGTAAATCATTTGACCTTGAAAATGTTCTTTATCCTTTATTAGTCGAGTACGTTTCCTTAACGCGTACAGAAAAAGCATACATAAAAAATATGCCTTACACCTACGAACTTTAATAATGTTTTTTTTTTTTTTCTTTTAATAATAATATTCTTTAAATTGGAAGATGCGCAGTAATACTTTTTGTGGGAAGCTATTTGGGCTACGGATTTTGGCAACGAATATAAAATAGCTAGATAAATGTGTCTTCTTCCCCTAATTGAATCTCGATTCGGTTAGGGTTCGAAAATACTGCGTGACGATCACTATGAACAATCCGCCATATTCTTTTTTTTTTTTTCCTCTTTTCTTTTCCCATATATATATATATATATTTCTCGTATGTAGTATGTACTCGTTGACTTATAAGCTAATAAGTACTATATATTTGGCAAAACTCTGTGTTTACGGTACGTAAAAAAGCTACCTGCGCGGAAGGTATGTTCGCAGACAACGATGTCCATTCGAAATCTCCTTCTCTTTGGATAGAGGTTGCGATTGTTTTAAAGAAATATACACACGTGCGAATTTGTCACTTGCGGTTTACTTTCACCACTACTTCTTTTCTTCCCTTTCCATTCCCTTTTCCCTTTTTGCGAACACACCTTCCGACGTTCTAAACTTATCGAACCCCCTCCTAAACTTATTCCGAATATTTTCTTAAAGATTAGGAAACGTTTACAGGCATTTACAAAAACTTATCACATTTTAACTGCATTTTTCTTGAAAAGCCACCTTACACATTAGGACAAAACTGATATTATTTGACCATTGTCGAATATAATATGTATTTATATAATATGGCAGCTTTCGATTGTTCTTTTTCATTTCTGAAGGAAAAAAGATTTGGATCTCTTTTACAAATGGCAAGTATTACAATTCAAAGCGAGGAAACGAAAGTTTGTTTACGAAGAATATCGAAGATTTCGCTGCTTCGATCAAGCTGTGCACACACGGTAGAGAGACTTAATTGTCGAAAGATAAGAATTTGGAACTTATTAAAACGCCATCATCACGGTCGACATGTCGAGTCACAACTCCTTTCGGAAACATTTCTCTCAATTTTCGTATTTTACAGTTTTATGTTTTCTTTCTTTCTTTTTTTTTTTTATATACTGTTCTCTAACTGCATCGATGATCCGATCGTGACGATACACAATCCTATCATCGATTAGAATTTCATCGCAAAAGCTGCCCAGTTCTCGGTTAGATTACTTTCTTACATACAAGGTAACTATATATGTTTAGGATACACAAAGTACTAGTAATAATAAAAAAGAAAAAAAGGAAAAGAATTAAACAAAATGACAGAGATACCAGGGCTGCTCTTGCGCGCGACGCCTCGGCGACGTAATCTTTACATTGTAAAATGTACACGGTAAAAATTATCGCGATAAATTAGGTCGCGGATAAAAAGGAAAGAGTCGTTTCGCGCGAGAGGTGCTCACCTTGAAGTAGAAAACGCAACTAGGTATGTATTAATCGCGAATAAACATCAATCATGTTGATCGACACGGCAAGAATAATATCGTCGTACTCAAGACGCTGAGCGGCAGAAGTATTTCTGTAAAAATTTTTTGTTCATGTCTAGAGGAAATACGTAGCGATAACTCTTGAGTGAGTGAGTGAGTGAGTGAGTGAGTGAGTGAGTGTGAGAGAGAGAGAGAGAGAGAGAGAGAGAGAGAGAGAGAGAGAGGGACCAAAGTTAAATCATTTGTTAAAGTTAAAATCATTTGTTAACCCAAGTTGCTTGGTCGTCACTGATCAACCGGTATGATTCGCTTTCGGTATGAGGTCACGCGTTTTAAAGGAATCAGTCTTTGAAATAAAGTCATGTAAATCGACAATTCGTCGTTTGGAATCGTGCCGAATATAATAATAATAATTAAAAAAAAAAAAAAAACGCACTCGTCTGTGTGTGGACCACGCAATGCGACTTTTAATCGGAAAACGGTACGGGAATGAAACTTGTCGAGGGAATATCTTAACTTCTAAAAGTATATACACAGATCGTAGGTTCTCATGAAATGGCGAGAACCTCGCTGAAAGAGAGAGAGAGAGAGAGAGAGAGAGAGAAGTAGTAGTAATAGTAATCTATTCTCATCGTTTCTACTTCGTTCGCGTTACTTTAGCTAATTGTCGAACAACGCTAACGTAGAAGAAACGACAAACGGAATAGAAGAACCTATTTGTTTTTTTTTTCTTTTTTTTTTTCCTTTTCTTTCTTTTTAGTTGCGTGCTGTGCACATGATAACACAGTGCTACCCAGCGTACTAGACTGCGATTATCTAAAGTAAATGGTGCCTCGAAGCAACGATCGCTAATTATCAAACTTCTACCAATTTCGCGATTAATTTTGTACATTCCTTCCTTCTCGTGCAAGCGATCTATCTAAAAATCCTCCTTCTTGGAGTATTCGCTAAGTTACGTCGATATATCGATAGTTTCCTCTTACCCAGAATCACGATCTTCGATCACAACGCGTTTCGTATTCGTTTCACGCCGTTGTTACGTTACAATTTCTCGTACGCTTCGATGATTACATTTTGGCGAGAAAGGGGAGAGGTGGAGTAGTAGAGTGAGGTTTATTTCTCTTATACATATACAAGAACTACCGGGGACTGATGAAAGATCGTGCAGGCAGGCTTATACAAATAAATGCTACGGCGAATCGTCGAAGTTCGCGTCGATCGTTGAAGATCCCGCGCGAACGAACCAAACACGGACGCGAGAGTTTTCATTCGATCGCGGCGAGATGGCGCGTCGTGGATACCTTCGGAGGACCTCGAACGCGTCTCTCAAGGTCACGTCGCGTCCCATGTTCCTTCCCGCGCGCGTAACTCGAGGTAGAGTCGCGGCAGTCGTTTCCTGAAAATTCGAATTCGGTCAAGGGTGAAGAGATTCTTGGCGAACCGCGCGGCTCTTCGTTCTTGCGTGTTTCCTTTCCTTTTCTTTTTCTTTTTCTTTTTTCGTATCGTTCGAGAACACATCGGCCGGAAGTACGCGCGTGTTACCACGAGTGAATTACAATCTAGTACGCCGGAAGAATATCTAGACAGCTGAATCCTTGCCGACGAAACCGGTCTTCGAGACGGATCTCTTCCCGTCGAACGTGATGGATGTTTCACGGCGGAGGCCCGAGTCGATGATCGGCGTGATCTTCTTCTCTTCCTTCAGCGGCTCCTTCTCGTCTCTAGAATGTTCCAATAGAAAACACCACCGGTTATTAATGGGCGAGGGATTTCGATGGAAAAGCGAATTCTTATTACGGTTACTCTCTAGTACTGGGCAATAAAAGAGCATGTCGAGAATGCGGCGCGTTGGTGCAACATCGAACAATACGCATAATGCATGCCATCGCTCGTTTTTTAGTATCGTGTGTACTTGCTGTTGATCGTGACGTCGTGATCCACGATTCTTCGTTCGTATGATGTGTATGACATGATGAAACACGCGTGGGACAAATGCACACGTGGCCGAAACGGAAGAATTCATTTGCACGATGGAAAAATATTCGCGTGGAAGGGTGAGTAAGTTGTCTAAATGTTGGTACAATGTTTCGACATCTATTTACGAGTGAAAAATTCAATCTCCGACCGCCGGTGATTAATCTTCGTTTTTTTTTTTTTCTTTCTTTCTTTTTTCTTTTTCACGGAGGCAATGAAACTGAATTACCTATTTTCACGAATCCCACGGTCGAGTGGAACAGGGTAAATTAGAGCGAGAATGGTGGTGATTGTGCTACGTGGTTAACGAGCAATTAATATCACTTCAGAGTGTTGATATCTCATGCAGCATAGCCAAAGCACGGGCGAATAATGGCGATAGTTTATGCAGCGCGCATAAAGAGTGATAGAGAGAGAGAGAGGGAGATAGGAGACTGGGAGAGGAAAGAGTGAGGGGACAAGTGTTAAATGAACTGAACATGGTGGATAATGTACAGTGTTCTTTTGTACGAAAAGTGGTTGGCGGCAAAACAAATTGCATTCGAAAGAAGGGCGAAAGATGTAGAAGGGGAGACAAACAAGATCCTTTCATGCTGCAATTCTGCTTCATCGACCATTAATCTCGTTTCAATTGATGCCATTCTTCAATTACTGTGTGTCTGACGTTTCCAGGATGTTTACCAGCATCGTGGAGCCGAGAAGTGAGAGAAAGAGAGAGAGAGAGAGAGAGAGAGAGAGAGAGAGAAAATAAAAAAACAAAAGTAGGAAGAAAAAGAAAATCATGCAATGTATAGAAAGCCGTGTCAGAGAGCCCCTTCGTGAGAGGCCATGCTTCTTACTGATTTTCACTTATGTTATCTCTCTTACATGGCAGTGTGTTTGACCAATTTAATGGTATTTTTTCCACTACCCGAGTCTTGGATGGCCGTGACCCCGGCGACATTGGCCATTTTTTGGTCGCAATACGGCAATGGAAACCGCCAACCGTAAAGACTACCGGTAAAGAAAAAAAAAGAAGACAGATGCGAGAGGGTCAAAGTGTCTCCTAAACACGGCGGGCTAGAGCTTTTCCCTAACCATTTTTTTAACCACGAAAAACACTCCACTGTTATTTCTTTGCGGGTCAAATACCTATGGACCTGTACGTGTTTATATTATTAATAATAAGAACGCGACCAAGGACGTGCCCCCGGTTCCGATTTGTCGCGTGTCCATCGAATGCTATCGGGGCTATAAAGGCTCCTCTCCTCTCCTCGATCGTTTAGCTTTTTATTTCGTATCCTCGCTGTGTGTCGTCAAGAACGAAAAGACAATACACCTGGTCGAAAGTGTCTCTGAACAATTTCAATCGATCTCGCGGCAAGAATATGTGTGTTTCGTTACTTGGAGTACAGGCTACAATGATAATTCGCCTCCAACCGGGACCGAGTAATTATTTAGGTGGAAAATGTTACGTCGACGGAGGGAAGTTTGAAACTTCTGGCTGCGAACTCGAATGAAAGAATCTCCGTTCTATTCTCCGGGCCGGAGGAGTTTCTAAGATAGGGACTGCCCGAAATTATTCTTTGGAAACTTCACCGGGCGACTGACTCTATAGCAAATCGGCACCGAAGCTTTCATGAATATTCACGCGAAATCGCGAGTCGTTCGGGCTAAACTAATTTGCACGTTAGTCACGGCTCGGGTCGCGAAAATTCGACGTTTACGATGCGATGCGAAAGAGATTCCCCCTGAGAGGTTCTTTGTATTATAAGTTCGATGGCGAGTGCAATGTTCGATGACACGGTAAATACAGCGCCAAAGACTTGCCAAAGCACAATGTAAAAAATATAATGTATATATATATATATATATATAAAAAATAAAATATATATATATATATATATATATATATATATATATATATATATATATATAATATATATAAGGAGGTCGAGTGAATCGATCTAAATATCGTGAGTATGTTCATCGTTCGTGTACGTGTGGCGTGTATCGAGGGGATTCAATTGGAACGAGCCTCACCTGCCAAGTTTCGTGTCCTCTTCGTCCACTGGCTTCCGGCGGGAACGTTCGCACACGTAGTATATGATTCCTGCGGCAAAAAAATTTCATAGTCAGCCGATCGAAAATTCGATCCGATTTTCAACAGGCTCGATAAGGTCTACCTTTCCAAACTGATTTACGCCGATTAGCCAGATTAGTGGGCGCTAACGTTGCAATTTCGCGCGCTTTCCGGGCAAAATCCGCGTTGCAGGGAGACAAATAATTTCAGATAAATTCGCGTCGCTGCATCGGGCAAATGAACGTTGCCATTTCAGATAAATCCGACCCCCTCCCCCGCAATTTTAGATACGCGAGGACTAGGGCTGCGAGTGCTAATAAATCCGCGCTGCGCGTGCATATAATGTCGCGAACGTGATATCCCGGGATTTACGTCGAAATACGGCGGATAAATTTATGTCGGGGAAATTAGGCGCACGTGCGACGCGATTGTTAGTAAATTCGTTTACAACTTTTGCCAGATAACGCGCCGCAATTGTGTTAATTATAAACTGGCGGCTTCAACCGGCAGCTGTTGACCGCCACGCGCCGCGACACGTTAAAATCACGATTTTATTTTGAATTTCCGTAAAACCCGCGAACTTAATCAAGACGCTCGGATCGCCACAGTCGATGAAAGAAAATGTTTCTCACCTGTCTTGTGCGCGCAACAGCAGACCACGTCGATCACGATAATAATAATGAACAGTACCGCGATCACGATACCGATTATGGCTGCGCTCGATATCAGAGGCCCCTGATGATGAACCACGGTCGTGTCTATACCTATTGAAGGACAAGAATGAATCACATGTCAGACAGATGTTCAGAAGAAAAAAAAAAAAAAAAAAAAAAAAAAAGAAAACACGCGCTGGTTTGTTTGCAATCCGTTAGTGCACAAGCATTACTCAACGATGTTTGGTGATGATGTAAAAGAAGAAAATCATTTGCAGTTAAAGTGTGTAATATTTCATTCCTCGCTGATGGCGATTTCGAAAGTTTCTTGCCACGCAGAAGATATTGATTACCTATAGGGTGCGGCCAGAAATCATTTCCTATCAAAATAAATCCGCAATTCTTTTTTATATCGAGAGGAATAGTTTTTAAAAAGTCACGTGTGAACTTGAATTTAATTTAAAATTAATAAAATTAGGTTTTTTTCTTATATTTTGTGTTTTATTAAAAAAAAAAAAAATAAATAAATAAATGGGAAGAAACTTTTGGCTCATGCTCAAGCGTATGCACGCGAATTCTTCGTTTGGCACGACACGAATATATATTTTCTAGTTTCGCGATCTTTAAGAGAAGATGTTCTCAGACAAGAAATCTCGATTAAAGCATCGAATTAAGGGGCGAGAACTTCTCGCGCGTTTGAGAAATCCTGCATGGCAAGAAACCTCCCGAACTTTGCTTCCATCCCGACAAGAAACTCTCTCCGTAACTCGCGTCCCTCGAAATCGAAATATTGACGAGTAATTCGAAGCGATAGAGGTTTACATGGTCTACCGTCCGGGGGGCGCATCACCAAACACGTCGCGCCAACGATTAAATTTTAGTCTCCTGAAAAGAAACAAGATCGGCGCGGGGTTCTCGGGGATTGGAAGTGCCAAAAATCCGTCTTCATCAAAGCGTAGACACGTAAGGGAAGAACCAAGGGAGAAACTAAACGCGCACACCAAAACCAAACCAAAGCGAGCCAACGTATCAACGTACAGTATATAGTGTGTATACCAATGAAACAATGAACATGATGATATCGGTCGTCGAAAGAAGCGGTGAGAAGAAGCTTGTTCAAAGAGAAAAAGAAAAAA